AGGCTTGATCACTTCTCTCCCTACCACCTCTAGCTTCAATTCTTCCATTGTCTTTCTTCTAAATTCTTTAAAGTTAAATGGTAAAAAGAATGGTCAAGCTTAGAGTAGAGGGAACAATGGATATGAGATATGTGTCTCTTTCAAAATGAAATTAATGGAGGTCAGGCCACTACACGGGTATGTTTGAAATCGATATCATTGTCTTACAAGTACAACATTTGAAAATCGATAAGAGTTCAAAAGAAAATATCTCACTGCCACCATTTTGGTGAAGAACCATCGTTTTCTTTTATGTTTACGTTTCTGAAATCGTTACTTTAGATGGAGTAGGAATCCTAGTTTCATTCCGAGTTTTTTCAAACATATATGCTTATTATACACAGAATAGTTAGCTAATAGTGTGGTCCATATATGAATTAGCAGAAGAGAGGAAAACGCATAGGCCAATTAACCCATATAATTGATCATACAACCAAAGAGAGAAAAACAATAACCAAGGAAATTATCTGTACTCGAGACAAATCCCAAATTCCCAATGCAAATAAAAAAGACTTCAACTATGAGTGTACCTTCCAAGATGTCTATATGTGAAACCAAAATATCAAGGAGACATAAAAAGCAAACGAGCTGATATCAGACAGTATATAAAAACAAAAAAACAAGGCGCTCTAAAATGGTACAAACGGACGGGCGGATAATAAAAAGGATCGATAATTTAAGCGGAAGAAACACTAGTTTCCTCAGGATTGCACGGCCAGTTTCTGAAGATGCTCGAAAAAGACTTGCAGGCTCACATCGTCAGTGAAGATTATGTCTGACCCAGCAGACATATCATTTGCAGTGTTGTAAGTCGCTGATGGATTCAGCTTAGCCAACAAAAACCTTGCCTGCAGTTTATGTGTAAGGGTGTAGAGTTAAAGATACAGTGTACGCATGGAGCCATTGGATCAATCCCAGACAGCTGAAGCAAATCATCAAAGTCGAGCTGACAAAAGATTTAAGAAATAACATATGGGAATGCTGACCTGCGACCCGTGCTGATCACACACAACTAATCTCGGGACTGGGAAACGCTCCCGGACTAACATCTGGGAATCCTCTTGAGGAGCTTGCAGTAGCTGAGCAAAGGCCTGACACGAGACACCGGAGAATTTAGGATATCGTAGCAATGAGACTTCATGACAGAAATTCTTGACCTCGCTACAACCCAACTTATTTCACTTGCATTTAGAAGGAACCAGCTCTTAAGAGTATTTGTACTTAGACTAGATGTCATACTTGGGATTAACAACCAAGCTCAGAAGGAATATATCATTTATGACTAGGCAAATGTAAAATGATGGTAAAAAAAATGCTTAAACAAATAAACAGACAATTACTAGTTCAAAGCTTGCAGTACCTCATGTTCAGGCTGATGATGATAACCCATGTTTCGCCATTGTGCTATTGTCATTCCATGGAAGACAACAACACTGAAATATGCATCTAATAAAAGAATTCGGTCGGCTGCAATGGAAGCCACATCCAGCAAAGCTGGCTGAGGTGGTGAATTGAATGAATATGACGTCAGCGACGGTTGGATCATGACAGTTGCATTTGAAATATTCTCCCGGTTTAGCAACATGCGGAAGTAAGCGGTTTCATCTGGACTATTGTTAAAGACCTGTTACCATTCCAAACACCGCAAAAGAAAACATGATTCAATTATGTAAGCCAATTACATGAGGTAGAGAATGATGAAATCTAAAAAAGTCGTCTACCTGAACAAACTGTGATCGCCGCAGGTTAAACAAGAATTGCGGGAACAATGAAAAATATGGATTCAGCGTAAACGAGGATGGATCATCCTTTCTATAATCACCGAATTTTGAACACAGACGAATGAGATTCCGATCTAGCCACCGAGTAGCATCAAATCCCTCCTGAAGTAATACATGATACACTGTATACGTGAGCAACACTATCACAAAAATACAAATAGACAAGACTAAATGAAGTACTGCAGTAAGCCAGGACTGCCTAGCAACTGTATCACTCCGAATGTAATACATGATGCACTGTATACTCACTCTGAGTCTCGCACAGACTATACATCCTTGGTATAACGAGATTAAAGCTGAATATAATACAGCCACCATAATTCCTTAATAACGATGATGTTTTCTCAAGGACAACTGTACGTCAATTCAATTTTTTATTTATTTAGAAGTGTTCAATTGTGTGAAAAATAAAACGTCACTTCCTTTGAAAGTCACATAGACCCATATTTAAAACCATCAAAAGCACTGTGAGCTTAACCCCAATGAGAAGATGATGTAAGGTACCTCTGTTTCCATTTTTAAGGAAGCTAATCTTGCCACGACCACAGCAGCAGTTTCTTGATCAAAGCCTTGCACAAGTTCCTGAGAATGTATACAGCAACCGTTGTAACAATATGTTAGCTTGTAGCTTGCCAGAAAGCTTTAGGCTATCAAAAACACATTGATATGAATGGCACCAGAACACTATACCATGATTATTATTGATTTCATGGTAAGAATAAAATGTTAAAAAAAAAGGCTATCAAGCTGGTGCTTGCATTAAAAATAGATAAAATGTCAAAAATATGCAACCAACGCCATAATTCTGAAATTCACATGACATAAATATGCAGTGAAATAAGGGAAAAAGGTTACACATGAGAAGTTAAGGATTAGGAATCATATAAACTAAACCATTAGGAATCAGAGTATGTTATACCATAACAGTATGATCTAAGGGATCCAAGTTGATCCTAACCAACCAACTTTTTCCATGAAAAGAAAATGTGAAGTCCCATTGAAAGCCAAAAGACTAGAGCTTTTCGCATAAAAGTCACAATAAATTAGCTTTTACTAATCACACCAGTGAACAAATGGGGATTGTTTGCTGGTTGACCAAAATAAGAACCACATATACCACAACCAAAATGATACCATGCCTAACAATAATAATGGTAACCGCATTTGCACAGGGTGGAGGTCTACCATGGGAAGAAAGAGTGAGACTACAAACATGTTCTAATCCTAACATGAACAATGCTACCAACAAATAAGAAACAGTGCTACCAGAAAAGAGCTAGTCAATTACAAATAAACCCAATTGCTTATGACTATAGATCTCGAGTATAAAGTGGTAAGTAATGCAGAAAGCAAGAGAATGACGAACCTCTGTGCTCACAGCAGTATCTACCCACTGTCTAGTTACAGTTGTAACTCGCATCAATGTTTGACCTTCAGGGTTTTGGTAACTGCAATCCAGTAAAAAAACAGTAAATCCAATGCTTCGAAAGATAAAAAAAGGTTTAAGAAAAAAGGAAATGGAGGGGGAAAAAAAGAGAGAAACAAAAGCTGCCAGAATACCTTGTGACAAACTGCAAATAGAACTGAGGATTTCCAGCTCCAGGAGCATTTGACCCAGTTGAGGATAGATCAAAGAATACAGTCAAGCAAGTACTCTTGTCGAGGCCACATAACTTCCAAGCACTGGTATTCCCCTCTCCAATGACTGTGTCAGCAACACTGGTACCTTTCTGCAAGGCTCCAAATAAAAATATATTAATATATTAAAATCAATTAATAGCATATAGATTTATTCATTTACGAAGCACAAACAAAACATCTTAAAAAATGGATTGTAAGCACTCCAGATATAACCTTTTCTAGTGATGAGCAAGGCCCGATAATCCCTTGAATTTTGATGTCTTTTGTACAACTGATCTCAAGCATACCACTGAAAATGAAAGGTTCACCATCAGTTCGGACTAATGATACAAAATATATATATTATTAGTATTATGCATAACGTCCACAAGAAAGGATTTTGGTTGCTACTCCACAGAAGATAATATAGCAAAGTATTGACACGAGCAGAGAAGAAACCAACTTAAAGCAGAGGCCAAGAGACTGCTCGCCATCTTCAAATATCCGCTTGAAGGAATCTTTAAATACGGAATGGCCAAAACTTTCAGACAGAACAACAAGTCCACCGGTACTTTCAACGGCAACTTTCATTTCAGCAACCCCAACCTAGCTATACCCAAAATGCAACAGCAGAGACAATTATAGTTAGGTATCGAATTCAGTGATGAAAAATGATAGCAAAATGGAATGATTTGTTAGAGAGAACAAGCAAAGCCTTATCAGCACTACAGCTAAGTAGAAAATATTGTATGGAAAATATACACTCAGTTTTTCAAGAAGCAAAGGACATCAAAATGAAAAGAAAAACGGGGGTTTGACAGATATGGCCTGGGCAAGCATGGCAATATTAGCTAGAGATTATAAAGAAACGTTTCTGATTTCTAGACGAAAGGGATGTTCCGAAACAATCACATTAGTTTCCACTGAGGGTTTTAAAATATTAGTAAAGAATAGGCGCTCTTTTGTGCACAACCACTAACATCTGCAAAACTAATCAGATGAAAAAGAATAGAAACTGATGATCACAGATTAGTTAAACAACTCAAGTACAAGTAAGAGCTTTCACAATTGGTGTGCATTAACGATGTCAACTTCGTCTAACAATTTAGTACTTACAGAATGCATATTCAAGATAATGACATATAAAACCACACTTTCAGGGACTTAATGAGAGATGGCATTCATCAAATCATAAAAAACAGCAAGCGCAGACAAAATTGGGAAATCAGGCGTCACAAAAACTGCACAATCATACCTGAAGAACAAAACCAGAGTTTGTACATCACGCAAAAAATAACCATGACAAATTAATACCTGATCAAGTGCAGATGCGAAAAGGTCTAACACATGACCCTGAGCAACTAGCTGCTTTGCAATACTATCATAAAATTTCACAGCTTTTTTATAATAAGGAGCAGCATCTTTATCTAGATCTTTGTGGGAGCGCACAGGATCTGATAAATCCTTCGAGACAATCTGAAAAGACAAAAGAAAGAAAAT